AACTGTTCCGCCGCCTCGATAAGATTCAGCTGGGCGTGTGCATCGTCTGGCTGGGCGCGCGTGGTCTTCAGCGATGTGACCAACCGTGGTATGGTGTCTGCGACGCGTTTGCAATCCTGCAGCAGTGACTCCTTGGTCTGATGATCCTGGCTGTGCTGCACCGCATTCTGGGCGGCCGAGATGCACTGGGTAGCCGCCGAGGCGGCCAGCTTTGAGTGGAACTCGAGCCGCTGGATGAGACCACGTTTCATGGCCGGCGTATTGGCAGTGCTGGTGGTAATCTCGCGCAGCTCCTCGGCAGCACGACGCAGCGCATTTTGATTGTCCGAGTCATGTGGATTGGAGGAGCAGAGTCGTGCCGCCTCCACTAGCTTGGCGGTGGCATCAGCCAGCTGCTTGGCGGCCGACAGCAGACGCCGCTGCATGTCCGCATCCTCCTGCTGATCGGCCTCGCCCTTGATACTCTGGATGAGCTGTGCTGTCGTCTGGCCCAGAGTGCGCGCATGGCGTACCATTTCCTGGGGATCATTGGTGGACACCAAAACGTCGGTGCCAATGATGACATTCTCGACGGGACTCAGCTCCTGACTGGTGCGATTCGCATGCTCGCGTGTGCTTAGCTTCACATGCTCCAGCATCTCCGTGAGACTCTTGGAGACATCGCGTGCCGCGTCCAGCAGATCGGCCTTCAGCTTGGGATCGTTGCTCGCCTCGTTGCAGACCTCGCAGAGCGAGTTGACCGCTCGGGCCACGTTTCTGGCCGCCGCCTCCAGCTGCTCCCGACAGGCAGCATTGTGCAGGGTGGGAGCCACCACCTTGGCGCAGGCCACCAGCTGACTGGTGGCCAGTGCGCACTGGCTAGCTGCTCCAATGACGCGATTGCGCGCCTGATCGTCCTCACAGCTGGCGGCGATGTTCTTGGCACGCAGAACCAGGGCGGCTGTCGTATTGGCCACCGCCTTGGCCAGGGCCAGCAGCATATCGTGCAGATCGCGATTCTCTGGCGCCTCCTCCTCGGCAATGGTGCTGAGCACATGGGTGGTGGCTTCGCCCACACGGCTGGCGGCATTAATCAAATGCTGCGGCGGCTCCTTGCTCTCCGGTTCGGCGGCCTTGAGCAGATCACTGAAGGCATTGCACAGATTGCGCGCTGCCTCTAGCAGCTGATCGCCATTCGAATCGTTCTCCATGAGGGCGGCAATCAGGCGCACCTCCTTGGTGACCTCGGGTATGGTTTGGGCAATTTGGGACACAGATGCCGAAATGGCTTCCGTATCGACCTCATCCGGCTGCGAGGCGGTGATAATCTGCGCAGTAGCCGCGCTCATCGTGGCCACATGCGAGCTGACAGCCTGCTTGGAGGTGTCCAGCGTATTCTCGCGCCACTCAATGGAACGCAGATCGCTGCCCAGCTCCTGAATGGGTGCCTGCAAAGAGTCGAAAGATGATTAGTTGTAAATTCTAATTAATTGGCCTGCTGCTGACTCACCTTGGTGCGCAGCTCCTCGTCGGCGCGTATTAAGACATCCTGTCCAGCGGATATATAGCCGAGCAGCGCACGCTGCGGCTCCGTCAGATTCACAGAACTAATGCGTACTTCCTTAGTCTAATAGGGAGATCATAATCGAGATTAATAGGGATTATCAGAAAAAATTCTAATAGCTTTATGGGCGGCACATACTTTGTGAAACTTTTCATGACCGTTTTCTAAATGTTTCAAGGATTAACGCAGCATGTTAAGAGATGAAAGAATTTTTTCAAGTTAGTTCAGTTAAGATGTTAAGAGGTGTGTGCTTTAAGGGTATATTCTGATTTAAGAGGTGCAATAGCAACTTAGACATAATGGCAGGAAATGAAATGTACGAGTGCTGCATTTGGAATCAGATGTCTTTCTGGGATAGAACTTACCGTGGGCGGTTGATGAGCATGATTTACTTGACCCACAAAGGCGCCATACTGCACGCTCTGCATTTCGTTCTGAGTGAAGGTGCGTTCACCTGTCGGCCATATCGAGCGAGAGACAGAGAGAGAAACGAGGGTGTACAAAAGAAAGAAATCATAAATTATCTGAAGCATAACAAAAAACTTAAATAAAAGCAATGCAGCAAAAACTACAGTTTACAATTAGAGTCTTTATATAAGATTTTTCTCAAAATGTTTTGTGAGTCTTGGACTTAAAGTATTTTTTTCTGTTTTGTATTTTTGTACTAAATTTAATATCAAAGAAAATGAAAGAATTCTTGTATTCAGATATTACAATTTTGATTGTATCTGTTTTATCTCACATTTTTGTCTAAATTATAAATAAAAACAGCTTGGCTAAAATAAAATCACACCAAGAAAATCTGCTGGTCTCTTGCTCAAGCATACTTTACAGTAAAAAGCTGAAGCTTAAGTGCAAATATCTTAAATATATATTAAATAGAAACCCTGAGACTTACCGTCATAGGGCCGCATAACGCCCGGATGCGCTAAGCTTTCCAAGTTGAGCTTCTCCACGCGATTCGTTTCGTGTTGCAAGAAGGTGGCCCTGAAAACACAGAAGAATTTTTACAATAATATATAAAAGACCCAATTTTTCAGCCAGAAAAACTCACTTGGATGGCGCAACGGACTCCTCCACCATGGTGGATCCCTCATCTCCTTCGATGCCAAAGTGATCCTTGGTCTGTTTCTTCTTCAATATGATATCGATATAGCCCGCGATGAGCTGCACGATTTGCTCGGCTTCTGTCGTTTGCACCGAATAGTATTGATTCGCATAGTCGCCAAAGTCCAGGGTGAAGGTGTTCGGCGAGGCGCCCCAGCGACGCACTGTGGTCAGTGGCCAGGAGATTAGAATCTCCTTGGTACGCTCATCCAGACGCAGCACAGAGTCTTTGGTAACGCCCAAGAGACGCGGCACCAGCTTGTTCTTGCCATTCATCTTCTCTTTGACCAGAAAGAAGGTAACGCCATAGGTGGGCAGCTCCCGGGCGGTCTTGGTGTACAGAACTTTGGCATCGATTTCCGTTAGTTCGAAATGCTTTTTATGCTCCGCAAAGATTTTCTTCTCAATGCTTTTAACACGCACATACGACTGTGGTAAAAAGTCCTTCAAGCTGGGTAGAGAGAAAGGGCAAATGGAAGGAGTTAAAAAGTGCACAGTTTTGGCAAAGGCTTCTCGACTTACTCCAAGAATCCGGGCTTATGCTTGGCCTCGTTGTGCGGCCCGAATTGTATGTGCACTTGGATGCCGGCAAATTCGCAGGCTGAAAGAAAATTACGGCAAAATTTGTAAAATAAAAGAAAAACTATGAAATGTATTAACACTCACCCTTGTCCTGGGTAACAGGATGTGTGCCATCGAGAATGGCGTCCCTGGCCTGCACGTAAAGCAAATTAAGCTGCACCGGATCACGGGAGTCAATGTTCTGATCCGAGAAGAAGAAGCGACGCCGCAGCAGCACCGTCTCCGACTCATCGATGCCCTGTTCGCGCAGTGTGCGACCCACATCGACCCAGTTCACTGAAAGAAATAGATAAATATATTAGTTAGTTAAGCTGCCAACCGACAGATGGCGCCACCTCATACTCACTTTCATCGTCAGTTTTGAGTTTCTTGCGCAAACTTTCCATTTTGGCATCGCGATCCTTCTCGGTGAACTTGCGCTTGAGCGTGAGTGTGCCAAACTTATTGTCCGGCAGGTTTTCGTTCTGCGCCTCGTTATCCTCACGCACCAGGCCATATTCCTCGTGATTGGTAATGCCAATTTTTGTGCAAATGACCACCATCAGCTGGGAAACGGGCTGCGAGTCGTCGACCAGTATGGTCTTGACAGCGCCATCCAACATGCGGACGCGCAGTGTCCGGAGCTTGCGTCGATATTCGAGCGTATCCTGATTATGCAGTATATAATAGCCCAGTGTGCGGCCAGCTTCTAGCCAAACGCCCTGCTGATTCTGCTCATCCGAAATGAAGAGTCCATATTCGCTAGCTGCAATATCGTTAGGGAGAAGCTTTATATAAACTGGATCTGGATGTGACCTAATGCTGGGCGTTACTTACGTTGTCCCTGCACCGCTTCGGCAAATTTATCGCGTATGATTTTGCACGCATCGAAGACTGTCGTATTTGGTTGGAATTGTATGGTCTTGGTCACCCGACCACCCTCCAGCTGTATGCGCAGCGACAGTGTGGACATCTTTGCGTCGTCTACGTGCACGTCCGCCTCCTAGTCTTAATCGTTTGCTTAAACTTAGTGTATTAGGTGTACAAATTGTAAAAGGCACTGCACAGAAAAATAAAATAAAAGAGAGAAACAGTCGAGAACAGGCGTTATAAACATGAAATAAATGGCCGTTCAAGTGTTATAAATAGCGCACCAAGCGAAACTGAAACTGAAACACAAAACCTAAACCAAAAACCAAAACCACCCCCAAAGCAGCACAGATAGCCGGGCCCAGGCCGGGACGGGACAGGCCCAGGCCGGGGGCAGCCACCACCCAAAAACCAGACAAAGTCGCTCCGCTGCTGATGAAAATCTTCTATACACACACACTCGCACACACACTCGTACACACACACATACACTCGCACAGTGGGCACTTCAGTGCTCAAATCAAAGCCTGGCCATTGTAGCTTGGGGTGACTTGCTGCACACCCTGCCACCCCGCTGCCGCTGCTGCCCCCAGACTCGTGCTTGTCATTATGCCAAAAGCAGCGACGCCGACTGCGACGCTGACAGCGACGTCGTTTGTTGTGGCTGCTGCTAGTGCTGCCGCTGCGCCATTTTATGCGACATTAATGCCTGGATTTTTAGCTAAATTCACTTAATGCTCCACTGGCTAACCTTATACCCGCCCCAACGCCCACGCCCACACCCACAGCCCGCTTCTAATTGATTTTCTATCCTGCCGCTCTGTCCGTAGACGTGGCCAGGCAATGTGTGTCAGTTAGTGGCCGGAACACGATACCGTTTTTTTTTTTGTTCTTATGTAAAAATCGATAATTTTCACAGCTTATGTTTTGGTTGTCGCATCCCCCGCCTAACACGAAGACATGCGGAAGCACTTGAAATTTCCGGTAAAAACTGTCGGCCACAAGCCCAGAAGAGGCAAGGCACCCACACACATGCACACGCACAGTATATACACACACGGCAAACAGTTAAAAATTTACTTTTTGCCAGATGGCAGAAAGCCGCCTGCTCCATATGGCGGCTTGATTGGCAACGGCTGGCTGGCTGGCTGGCTGTCTGTCGGCTTGGCTTGGTTTTATGGAGCACTGTTTAACGAGGCACGTCTGCTGGCCACGAAATCTGGCACGTAACTGAAAAAGGTTACCTCAAAATTGGACCAGCCAAGGGGATGCTGCGACGCTGACGTCGCTGTCAACGCCGTTTTGCTGTCTGTTTTATTGTTTGTTGGGGTGAGAGAGAAACAGAGAGCGAGAGCGCGCCGCCTGCGCATTGCTGCCCACATTTTATTCAAAGGGTGCAGCCAGGCAGCTGAATCAACCCCAAGAGCGCGTGTAGAGTTCTCTCTCGCTCTCGCTCACTCTAACTCTCCAGTTGTAGACTTTACACGCCCGGCAACGGCGACTGCCCGACCGAGTGGCGCCAGCCGGCAAAGTGCCAGCGTTTTGCGCAGCTTAAGCGGCGCAGCGGCAGAGGGCAGCGAACTGGAAGCCACAGGGGCGTAATCTGATCGGAGTGAAAAACGGGCTGCGCGGCAATCCCGTTTATGCAGCGAGGGAGCGTGCGCAGGGTTTGTTGAAGGATACATGCAATATTTTGCTCTGTGGTAAAGGATATAAAATGCTAATATGGGAGTTACGCACGGGAAAGTTGGCAAACGTATTTAACGAAATTAAGAATCTGAATAAATAATCAAACTTTGTGCACTTTGGTAAAGTACTTGGAAAAAGTTATAGTTATATAAATAGATTGTAAATTATGTGTGCAGATTTTAAAGTCGGATTTACGAACGGAACAGACAGCAAAAGATGCAGATAGATTTAATGGAAATATACAGATAGATACAATGCTATAATGACAGACTTTCAAGAACAAAGTGTAAAATATTGCAGGTTTGCGACTAATGGGGGAGTTACGAATAGTACAGACTGAAAACTTATGAATTAAGGAATATTTGACGAATATGGAATCTGGTATCACAGATATAAACAATTGTCGAATATTTTTAGTTTCTTTTTTGAATCAAAATTTAGCGTAAAATGTGCCAAATTAATACATTTTATTCTTGTTTGAAATTCTAGAGATTAACAAATAATATGATACTACATAAAATATAAACATTTTCATGCTTTATTTATGGGCATATTTTCACTTGTTAGCTTTTCTAGACGAAGTACTCTTGCTTGTAATACAATACCCACCATTAATTCAATTAACTGTACGGCATGCAGACTCCCCCAAAACATAACCTCAAAATAAACACACATACATACACATACACTTTCTGGGGAAAACTAACAATGTGACATAAAAAGGAAAAAGGGACAGGATGTTGAATAGGGATGTGACAGGACAAGCAGATGGATTTCATAGAGCTAAAAGACAAACAATTTCAATGAATGGGGGAACTAGGCGACAACTATGTATGCACATATCTCATTTTAGATATATGTATATATATTTATGGCTGATTTCGGGCTGATGCGGGGGCAGACGAGGTCTAGCATTGCAGCTGACTAAGGTTTCAATTGAGGCTTCCAAAGAGCAGTTTTATAGTAGCTAATGAAATACAAGAGCAGCAAAGCAGCAGATTTTCCGCCGAATGCAAATGAAATAGCGTATCCAGCTTTAACTGACTTTAGCTTATAGCCTGGCTGGCATGAGCTCTCACTAATTGGCAACCACTTTTCGCTCGGAAGTCACACTGTGCGGCTAATGGATGTAATTTACTGCCATCCAAGTTTTCTATGGCTCTGACTAATTAATTGCCTGGCACTGCGCTGAAGCTGAGTGAATGCACTTCGAATGTATTTATTGGCATTCACAAAAAGCTGTCGCTGGTTATTTTGTTGTTTTTCCAAAATGGCAAAAGTATGGAAATCCATTAATGGCCTATGATTATATAAAATTCTTTTATAGGGCCGTTTGACTAATGAATTTGGTATATGTGGATTTAATAATGATTAAATTTCGTTTTACATCTATATTTAATGGAGCATAAAAATATATGAAATTTAATCTGAGATCGTCGACAACATGGTAAATAATTATTATTATAACTATTAAAATTCATATTTCATAGAATAAGAATTTTCCACAATTTAAACAAAAATTCATAAAATCTTTGCATCTATTACCACGCTAGACAGAGATTTGAACCAGTTACTTCACAAATCACTGATCAAGGAGGCTCAGACCGAAATCTATTAAGTTCAACAAAGTTATATCTAGCTTCCTGTGTACTTAAAAATTCTTGTAATAATAAGAAGAAGAAAAATTAAATCGAAATTGAAAGTAAGACATATCTTAAGTTAAAAAAAGTATAAATTTTTTCCAGTAAGGAAACTTTTTACTTACTCTTCGTGCACATTTTTAGGCTCTTCAAAGAATTGTATTTAAAATGTTTTTAATAGTTATTTTGCGCTTTTCGGTTATTTTGAGAAGTTTTTCAAAAGGCACATGGCTTTGTATAGCTTATGCTTATGCTTATAAAGGCACACTCGGGGCTCGTGTGTTGTGTTTCGTGTGTGTGTTTGGTGTGTGTTGTTTTTTTTTTAAAATGTAATTGTTTTTTGTTTTTTTCTTTTGGTGTGGACATTGGCACGGGGTGGTGAAGGGATTTTAAAAATCGTTGACTACGGACGGCAGCGCACGACGATCGGAGGCCAAACGCGAAATAACCGACTGACTCCCATTTGGTGGCGACTGCTCGCCGAGCTGAGGCACGTTTGTGGTGGTGTTGAAACGGCGGCACGGAGACGCGTCCAGCACGTTTTTGTACAAGAAATTGTACGGAACCGAAATGGCAAAAAACACAAACTAAGGACTAACAAGTTACTCGAGTGCAGCAGAGTGAAAGAGAACTCTCTCTTCCCCAAAAAATTGCCTCTCTGTTAAAAAAGTAGCTACAAAACGCGACTACTCCGAATATATTTCAAATATAACAAATAACTTTCTTAAAATGTGCATCTAATGGCTAAAAACGGTCTCTTGTATATTGTATATACGGTATATATATATATATATTTTTTTTTTATGTTTAAAAACGTGTAGAGTTTCGTAATAAATTTCTAACTTTCATCTAAGGCAAATTAGTGGCAGAGTTGGATTTTGAGCCTAGGGCCGAAAAATCTAAGCGTTACTTAGAGCTACAAAAGTTGCATTTAAAATTTAAAGTTTCTCGTTTAAGGCACACGACGACAAGTGCAGCAAACAAAAGACGCGAACTTGTTAATAATAATAATAATTATTAATTGTTTAATATTTAATAAGGCACTTTTGACGAACTACTCAACTGAAAGGCACGCGCAGGCAACAATAACGAATTGGGCAATAAACTTAACAACTTTTAGTTTTTTTTTTTTTTTTTTATATTAACACAAGGCACAAAACGGTGTCTAAAGAAACGCGTGACAACTGCTTGAGGAAACACTTGAACTTGAACTGTGGCTGGTCCAGCTCCAGCTGCTCCTGCTCCAGCTCCAGCTGCTGGGTTGATGATGTCAGCGCTGGCGTGTCCTGCCCGATCGGAGGCTAGGCCTAGAATGATGTGCTACGCCGGCGACACATCGTGCGCTTCTGACGCAAACATCATTCATGCCACAAGTCGTAAGCAACATGAGAATCCAACTGGCGACATTCTGTCGACCCAAAGGATGCTGCGGCGCGCATGCTCCAAGCGGCGACTGAAACCGAATCATGGGCAAATCCTGCACGTGCAAGAGGGATGGGAGCAGCAGCAGCCGCAGCACAGATCAACAGCTGGGGGCAGGGGTTGTGGTGTGGCATGCCACTTTGCCTTTTTATACATATACATATATATATTTTTTCGGGCACAACAACAAAAACAACCACCAACTGTGACGCCCAATGGGTGGGCCAGGACCACCAATGGCTGCACCTCTGCCAGGCTTCGTCTCGCTGCTTATGTACAACAACCCAAAGGGGGGGAGGCTGAGCGATTGTTGTTGTGCTTGTTCTTGTTCTTGTTTGTTCAGCTAAGTTGTATAAATGGGACCGAGTGACTATTTTTTTTCCCCTATATATATATTATGCAAAATGAATAAGTGCGTAAGCTCAGCTCGATTCTTTGCTAACTTTTGCTGCCGTCTTGATGTTTTAATTAGCCAAAAGGCGGCATTGATTAATTATAGCAGCAAGATTAAGCATACGCCACATTGGTTGCGCCTCAAAGTATGCACAGCAATTGCAGCAAATACACAACGAGAGAGAAAAAGCATCAAATAAAACAAGTTGGCAACGCCCCCCGCCCCCGCCTGACACATTGTGTGCATAGCAGCTTACGCCGCCCCCCTCCCACACGCCCCTCTTCGCCTCTCTAGACCAAGTCCAGTCAAGTCAGCAAGCGCTGCCGCCATGGAAAAACTCAACTGGCGCGACTTGTTGGCGCCACAGCCACCATTTTGTCTGGCCACATAAAAGTGTGTGTGTGTGTGTGAGTGTGTATTGGTTGGCGCGTGTGCGTAGGAGTCCTATGCTCGAAAGGAATCTTAGCTTGTCGCCGATTCGTTTCGACTTCAGTCAGCATAAAGTGAAATTTTTTTTTTTGGATACCCCGCACTTTTAGTAGTCACTTAGGGTATGCAAGACTTCTATGCAGCATGTAACGAACATTACATAAACTTCTATTTATATGAGTATATAGAACTATATGTTCATACTCCCTTCAACTTGGGAAGGGTATTTTCGGGTCGAGCATTTGCTTTTTGCTCTCGCCCGTCTGATTATTTTTCTTTTACTGCGGTTCTGTGTGTGGGTGGCGTGGTTCGCGTCCAAAGGATAACAGAATGTCACGAAGCTGCGCCAATGTGGAGCCTTTTATGTAATTTCCACAATTTTTATTTGTGTGTTTGCGAACAGATGACAAAAAATAAAGAAAATCATATATATAGATATAAGGAATAAATTTGTTGCCAAACTCGTATAAATAGCCGGAGGCAAAGGCATAAAAAATGAATATACTGAATCCATAAAAACCACTGAGCAGAGCCTATGCGGGGTCAATGTGATTAGAGAAGTTCGTGCATTCAAATTTGCTGATTTACAATTTCAACTTTATCTAGATGAAAATTATATTGTGTCTGTGTGTGTGTGAGAAACGAACATAGCAGCAATTTATAACAGTAGGGTATTCAAAGTTAGTCGGCCATTAAACAAACTACTTCTTAGGTAGTCAAATAGGAAAAAGCTCGTAAACTTTGTAAGTTTATTTTGTTGTGTTTTATAGTTTGTAGGACTACACGCAATTTGTATGTTAGGCATAAAAATAATAAGAGTGCTCTAATCGTGGGTGCTTGACTAGCAGATACCCTGTATTCAACCTTTATTGTTGGTATACTGACAATCTGTTCACTTGGGCGGCAACTGAGCTGCTTCTAAGTTAGCCACTTTCTAAGACACTTGCTAAAAGTTTTATTGTGCTTATTGTTATATAAATATGAAATCTTAAGGTCGAAGATATGACAGTCTAATGCATATGCCAAAAATCAATGGCTTTTGTTCTGTGCATGCCATATGTAAGCGTAGATAACAAACGAGCTGTCTCTAGAGTTTATGTTCTCGAAATATGCTCAAAAAAGCAGGTAATACATCCGAGATTTTGTAAAATGGGAAATAAACTACCAGAAGACATATAATAAAAAAGTGTCCAGCTTCAAAACTTGCTGAGATCGCAGTCTTTATCAGCTGCATAGATAGATATGTCTAGAA